ACCAGTCGGCTGTTGCTGGACCAGTCTGCTGTTGCTGGATCAGTCAGCTGCTGCTGCACCACGGTCAGCTGTTTCTGAACATGACTCGTCCCGAACCTGTCCGTCCAGCCTGAGCGCCTGCCTTGCCGTCATTGTTTACAAGCCAGGGTGGCCGGTTGCATGCATACATTCGATACATTTTGTATTATTCCATTATTTATAGTGCTTGTAACTGCTAAATAAGTCACCATGGGCCCAAAGAAAGCTTCTAGTGCCAACCCTGTGGTAAAAAGGGTGATAAATACTATCGTACCACAGTCAGCTGCACCACGGTCAGCTGATAAATTGGACCAGTCAGCTCCTGTTGCACCACAGCTGCACCATGGTCAGCTGTTGCTGCACCCAGCTGCTGCTGCACCATGGTCAGCTGCACCACAGCTGTTGTTGCTGCACCACCGTCAACTGTATTACTCAAAGATGTGGAGAGTGTGTTGTTGGTGTGGCTTATTAACGTGAAACAATTACCGAGAAACAATTAACCCCAGAGGGTTAGCCACCCAGGATAACCCAAGAAAGTCAGTGCATCATCGAGGACTTATTTCCATTGGGGTCCTTAATCTTGTCTCCCAGGATGCAACCCACACCAGTCGACTAACACCTAGGTGAACAGGGAAAAACGCCTGGAACTAGTGCTCATATTGGTGAATTTAAAGCCAGCAAAGGTTGGTTTGAGAGATTTAAGAATCGTAGTGGCATACACAGTGTGATAAGGCCTGTTCTGGAAGAAAATGCCAAACAGGACCTACAGTACTCAGGAGGAAAAGGCACTCCCAGGACACTGTCTCATCAGTCATTGCTGCATCTTCAATAAAGGAAAGTGTCATTTATTCTTCATTTAGTAGAGTAGTACATGCACAATATATACTGTGCATGTACTACTCTACTATTGTGCATGTATCCTTCTCTGTGTGTGTAGGAAAATGTGTATTTCATGTGGTAAAAAAATTTTTTTCATACTTTTGGGTGTCTTGCACGGATTAATTTGATTTCCATTATTTCTTATGGGGAAAATTCATTCGCATAACAATTAGCTCTCATGAACGGATTAATATCGTTATGCGGGGGTCCACTGTACAAGGTTATGGTATAAGTATTAGACTGGAAGTGTTAAGGAAAGTGAGCATAAAGTTGTAAGAGGCAAGCAAGCTTTTGTGCATCAAAGTAGGGTGGAGCAAACAATTATCAAAAATTCCTAAAGGACAGATGAAATTGCAAAATGCAGGTTAAATGTAAGGAGAAGGTACATTAACGAATGTATTAGGAGTATATGGAGGAAGAGTAATAAATGGGGGGGGGGAGGGATGGGGAGAACAAATATATTAGCCTCACTAATATCCATAACTTTTATAATTGGAAGGGTAATGAAGGTCATGAAAGTGGACAAAATAAGATTGGTCATTTCAATCTTGCAAAGACGGAGCATTTGCCCTAGTATAGTATTATTAATAGTATAATAAATTTAACTGCTAAACCTGTAAGGGCCATACAACACACCTTTGCATATAGGCTCTTAACATGGAGAAGACTGGGAAGCCATGAGACAAACATAACCCTTGGTGATGAATGAGATCAAAGTTAAGAGCAGTGCAGGGGGCTAAAGCATATAATTGTATCAGTAATCTAGCTTACATGAGAATTGAATATAGGCAAAGCAGGGCTCATCTATCAGCTCCCCATGAAAAATGGACTACAGTTTTAAGGAGGTTCAGGCAACTATGACAGACAGCTTTTAGAAAGGTGATACACACCATTAAGGACTTGCAAACATCAAAAAGACGAAGAAATCTGATCATATCTTGTTTAGGGATATGACAACCCTGAAGGCATAGAATGATAAGTCAAGAAGTAAAACTAGTAACTACTTACACTATGAACTACCACCACCAGTAAGAGGCTGGACAACCAATCCTAATATATAAAATGTTAAATTAAACCTTTCTGGTCACAACAAATACAAACATTTCTTTACTATAGTTTATCAACTTCAGAGAATAACTTTAATATCAAGGGTTAATTTCAGTTTAGAAACAGTTTATTTAATTTTACCACATTAATTTGTCTAAGTTGCAGTTTCCAAGCCAATGAAAGACCTGAAATAATTTTATCAGCATTATTAGCCCACTGCATGAATGCTGAAGTGGGAGAAACGGCTGTACAGGGCATGGTAGGAACATTTGGGGTGCTAGGGGGTAAATGATAAAAGCCTTTGATTGAACTTTGTATATAAAGAGGTTTAGTAATAGGTAATATGCATTTTAAGAAAAAAAGGATAGGTATATGAGATATGATATAGGGCAAATTGACAGTAGTTTGCTGGACTATGTATTGGTAGATAAAAGGCTGATGGGTACACTTCAGGATGTGCATGTTTAGAGGGGGCAACAAATATATCAGACCATTTAGTTGTAGCTACAGTGAAAGTAAAAGGTAGAAGAGGTACAAGGAGAATGGTATCAGAAAGGAAGAGGCACAAGTTTATAAACTAAGAGAGGGCAGTTAGGGTAAGATACAACTAACTATTGGTAGAAAGATGGGCTAGTGAGAGTATAGGCAATGAGGTTGAAGATGTATGGGGTAGGTTTAAAAATGCAGTGTTAGCCTGCTCAGCCGAAGTTTGTACATATAGGAGGGAAGAGGAGCAATTTGTGGAACGAAGAAGCAGAGAGTAGTGAGAAAAAGTTTGCATATGAGAGGTTTTTACAAAGTAGAAGTGATATAAGGAGGTAGGAGTATATGGAGAAAGAAAGAGGTTAAGAGTGGTGAAGAAATGCACAAAGAACAAGCATGGGAGAAATGCTGCCATCAAATTTTGCCGAGAATAAAAAGTTTAAGTGAAATTATTAAGTTGAAAAAGCCTAGGAAATGAATGGATTTGACAGTTAAAAATAGAAGAGTTATTAGACAGAACTGGAGATATTAGGAAGATGGAGGTAATATTTTGAGGAACTTTACCCTTAAACTGTCCAAACGTAGATCTACGTTCACGTGTGTAGCGCTCCGAATGTAGATTTTTTTTTTTTTTTACACGCTTTCAAATGGAGAAAATAAAGGTTGGAGCACTACGCATGTGAACGTAGATCTACGTTTGGACAAGTTAACGTGTTAAATGTTGATGAAGATAGAGGTGTGATTTTGCACATTGGCCAGGTAGGTACAGCATCTTTTAGGAGTGAGGAAGAGCCAGATGTGTGTTGGAAAGGTGCATGAGGCTATGGGTAGAATGAAAGAGGATAAAGCAGCTGGGATTAAATGGGATCAAGACAAATATTTGTTAAAAGCAGGTGGGGATATTATACATGTAGTTTTGGAGTGAATGGTGCTTTTATATTTAATAAATATATGAGCCAGAAGGTACCTAGGGATTGGCAGAGCATGCATAGTTCCTTTGTGTAAAGGCAAAGGGGGCAAAAGACAGTAGGAAGCATAGAAGAAACCTGCTGAGTATACCTGGTAAAGTGTATGGTAGTTACTATTGAAAGAATTAAGAGTAAGGAGAACAGGACTGCAGATGAACAATGAGACTAGGAAGGGAAGGGGATGTGTAGACCAGGTTCTTACAGTGAAACATACAAGTGAACAGTACTTAGATAAGGGTAGAGGTTTTTGTTGCATTTATAAATTTGAAAAAGGCATATGATAGGGAGGACAGGAGAGCAATGTGGCAGATGTTGTAAGTGTATGGAATAGGTGGTATGCTAATGAAAGCAGTTAAGGCTTTTATAAAGACAGTGAGGCTCAGGTTAGGGTATGTTGGAGGGAGTATTTCCTAGTAAAAGTAGGCCTTAGACAGGAATAAGTTATGCTACCACGGTTGTTCAATATATTACAGATGGGGTTGTAAGAGAAGTGAATGCTCACATTTTAGCAAGAGATGTGGGATTAAAAGATACAGAATCTAACACAAAATGTTGCTTTTTGCTGAACGAGACTGTGCTTTCTGGGAGGTTCTGAAGAGAAGTTGCAGAGGTTGGTGGATGAGTTTGGAAATTAAAAGTGGAAAGAAGAAAGAACAAGTTGATGAAGATAAAATTTAGGTAACGAAGATTAGATATCAGACTGGAGGGAGAGATTATGGAGGAAGTAAAAGTTTTCAGATATTCGGGAATGGACTTGTCAGCAAATGGGTCTATGAAAGAGGCGAACCACAGAAATGACAAGATAAAAAAGGCAAGTGGGGCACCGAGGAGTCTGTGGAGACTGCTATCAATGGAAGCAAAGAAGGGAATGTAAGTATAATGGCAGCAACACACACACAGGTGGTGAATGTTGCAACAAGGGCAATGGAGATGTCATGTCTGAGGGCAATGTGTGGTGTGAATATTATGCAGAGAATTCATAGCTTGGAGATTAGGGGGTGATGCAGAGTTTCTAAAAGTATTATCCAGAGGACTGAGGAGAGGTTGTTGAGATGGCTCAGACATTAACAGAGGATGGAACAAACTAAAGAGTAACTTAAAGGGTATACAAATCTGCAGTGGAAGGAAGGCAAGGGAGGGGTCATCCCAGAAAGGGTAGGTAAGAGGGGGTAAAGGACGTTTTTTTATGTGAGGTTGTTATAGTGAGTGAGCATGTTATAGTGTGTGGAGGCAAATGGCTTTTATGACTAAGTGCTGTTGGAGTGTGAGCCAAGTAACATATGAAGGGATTCAGGGAAACCGGTTAGCTGAACTAGTCCTGGAGTGTGTGTGTCATTAATTTCAATCAGTAATTCCATTATCTAATCCTGGAGGTGAGAAGTACAATGCCTTCACTCTGAAGAAGGGGTTTAGATATGTTGCATTTTTTTTTTTTAACTTAAGTGTCAACACGCCTCTGGCAAGACAGTGATGGAGTGATGAAAGTGTTTCTTCTTTTTCAGATCACCATGTGTTGGTGGGAAATGGCCGATGTATTAATAAAAGAAAATTCTTAAAATACTCAATAGATGTCTTTAAACAAAAATATTACAGTAAAATACTTACTACAGTGAAGTAGAACTACTGGAAAGAAATTTTTGAAGCCTGAACAGCATGAAAAACACTGATCAGCTACGCTAACTGCAATGGAAGAAAAAAAAAGGTATTAAATGCAGTCCTTGATGTGCTAACTTTTACTGGATAAAAATCTAACCGCTCAGCTCTCATAATCAATGCACATTTGGTATCCCATCCCAGTTTTTGATTGATCAAGGGACTCAGCAGTACAGAATAGTCTGAATTGAGTTATGACAAAGTCACCTTGCTCATCACACTTAACTAAGCTGGACACAAGATCCTTCCAACCAAGACTGGGAATCATCTCAACCTGTTAAAATTTTAACAGATTTCCTTGACTTACTCCTAGCCAGGTATCAGATGATTTCTGGTGTTCTGCTCCTCCTCTCGAAGGTTGCCCATCTAGAGCATATCTGTCCCTTCTCTCAGACCTTCCCAGGGGTGACAGCAATGTCTGTTGTCCCCCTAGAGCAAGCTTGTGCTGCATCATCACCAAAAATCACCATAAACTGGGACAACCTTAGCAATAGTTTCTGTCATCATAGCTTTTATTTTCCCTAGAACTGTGGACGTGACTAAAAAAAAATATTTGCACTTGCCTTATGTGCTAAGACAAGTTGTCAAATCCTGGCTGTGTTCAGTCCTTATACTGGATCTTGCTGCAGTATATGTAACCACCTTGAAAAGCAGCTGAGAAGGGTAATGGCAAGTGTTTTTTTTTTTTTTTGTTGTGTTGATCCTGTTAGGAAATAAAAATTATTATTTACAAAACAATTTGTTAAACATTATGTAGTATTTAACCCTACCAGTGGCTGTCACTTAGAACTACATCATTGAGGCCACAAGGTCAGCTCACAATCAGATAAGCAGTGAGTGTTAAATTTAGCCCTAGATATGAGAGAACGGATAGTGCAGTATATGCAGTTTAGAGAAAATCCTGCCCCATGCAGTACGTGATGAGAAAAGCAAAACTGACCATGTTCAAGGTTTAAATCAGTTAATATGTTTTCTCCTAAGGCTTTACTGCCCCTTTTCATGGTATTATGTGATAGAATGGAAGACTTACTATAGCCTCTTCTCACTTAATGACATACTCGTTCACCAACAACTGACTTACAGCGGGCTCTCTGACCAGTATGCATACCTAAATAATGTGTATTAGGGCTCAATTCCTCTATTCTGTTTGTTACAATATACAGTACACTATTGTATAAACATGTACTAAAAATGTTATAAATGGTGCAAGGGTGACATTAAAGCAATATCAAAGATGGTTGACAAACCCAATACCATTATAAGTATGCTTCTCGGTTAGCGATGAATTTGTTACCGACACGGTATCAGGAATGGAACTCCATCTGTAAGTGAGGAAAAGCGGTACTCAAATAGATGATTTTGGTTGACTTCAGATGGAAGTAGCTTGAAACTGAACTTAAGGTACCTGATAAAATATTTTTTTTCCAATTTTACTAAGTATGGATAAGCTCCTTCCCCTACACCACCACAATCTGTTTTATAGGTTTTAAAGAGACTGCTTCAATTATTGGGACACCTAACCATGGCCAATCATTCCTGGTTATATTTATCTGAAAAATACAGTACATCTTCCATTTTTGTGTAATGTGGGAGAGCCCTTGAGATGTGAATAATGTACCTAGGCAATATTTTACTTCCAGGAATGTCCACAAATTACCAATCTCTATGCACCCTATAGGGTAGTTGAAATAGCTGACTGAGCAATTTCTTGTACCCATCAACAGAATAGTAGGAATACTAGCGAAACAGCCAAGAATTTAGTCGACTGGAGCAATGGAATTTACTTAAAATGGGACTCGGTGAAATCACCAATGTGTAAATTGCACCGAGAACGTTAACTATGCGCCAGCGTAATTCCTCAAGTTTCCCATCAAATTTTGTACTTTTGGTGTGATCTTCAGAAAGATTTTCTACCATTACAAAAAAATAAATGGACAAATATTAATTTCAGGGGTTTGGAGAGTGGAAGGGTTAAAATAGTGACAAACCGTACATGAGACTGCAGTATCAGATGTAATTTCCATCAAGATATCATGTGATAAGGGAAGACAGAAACACAAAGGAAAAATGGAGAAGATATTTCAAGGATACAGGAAATGAGAGGATATTTCAAGGATACAGGAAATGAGAGGATATTTCAAGGATACAGGAAATGAGAGGATATTTCAAGGATACAGGAAATAGGGGAAGTAGAGGATCAGAACTGCCCATCATGAGAAAAATTCTTACACATGATCTATTGTTCAAAAAGATATTAATGACATTTTCCTAATAAGTATTGTTTAGTAGGAATTTTTTTATTAATAAAAATATATGTATTCAGTTTCCAAAAACATACTATTCCAGTTTGGAAGAATAATGAAACAAGTAATGATGTTCCAAGACATTCATATTCCTCTATGAATACTTTTCATCTTTCAAGTATTAAAACTAAAATTATAAGAACTACAGTATATACTAACTGGTAAATATTCATCAAGACGTTCATCTCCGGACAGGATTACACCAATATTTCCTGATGGGTAAAGCAAAAATCCATAAATAAAATATTTTTCCTAAAGAACAGAAATGTGTGTAATATACCTCAGTTGGTGATGCATGTAAAGAAAATCATGAATTTTCATACTGCATAGTTAAAAAATCATCATAAAGTTCTACTTTTTTTTTTATACACATTTTGTAAATAGAAGCAGCACCATAATGGATAAGAGACTGATAATACAAATACATTCCTGAAAAATAGTAACTTTACTTCCATAAATTAATGAGATACTTTACAATATGTAAACTATTTTGTGTAACTATTGTAAAAACTAACATATTTCAGATCAAACAGACAAAATATATTTAGAAAATGGCAGTAGTCCATTCAATCCTGAATTGTTCATTATGAGCAGTTGGGCAGATAGATTTCAGATTTAACTGACTAGGCCTGTTAAATTAAGAAATGACTGCTGGTGCGTAATTGTTACAATCACAGAAAAACAGACAACTGCCTCTAAGTGGAAACCAACTTTTCCCTATCAATCAGTTAACCCTTTCACCTCTCCTACATAAGCTACATTATAGATACTGGCATCCCTTGTGTAGATCTGTTGTTACCACAGAGCCTTCACACTGCTCTCAAGCAGTAAATTTTGATGTAGATATAAGGGAACAAGTATGTAATGGCATAAGCACAGCATAAAAAAAATATTGCGCCATGTAGTGCACGACGGGGAAAACATATCTCGGACCATGAATTTAGTTTAAAATAGGAACTGAAGGTTTCTAGTGTGATTTTAACGTTTTATTGGCTATTTCTCGGTACCACTTGATAGAGTGGAAGACATACGCGTGACAATTTTGGTCTGTTTCAGGGCTAGTAGTAGTTCGGAAAGAGTTTAAAGTAGTGGATATGTTAGATTCTTGGCAATTTTCCTGAGCAAGGTTCAGGGGGCTCCCCCTATACCTTCGCTGGTGTTTAAAAGGTCTGCTTTCATTACTATGATGTGCTAAACTATGGATTGAAAATGAACAGCAAATGTTCCCTAGGAAAGGCCTGGAGATGTGATTCATGAACAAAGGCTAGATTGCTTTGGTGGCTGGATTGCATAGTGTATCTGACTTTTTAAATCATAATTTTTTGAATTATGTAAAATTAGCCAAAGTTTGGCCTTCTGTACACTTCTGTACTTATAGGCAATTTCTTATACTCAATTGACAGGCTGGAAGACATACTAGCAAAATAACTTAAATATTTGGTCAATTTGAGCAATGGAAATGTCAGCAAAATTTCCACTGTGTAAATTGCACTAACAATGCTAACTTTGCACCTTCATAATTCTGTAAACTTTACATCAAATTTCACTTTTGGCGTCATTGCCTTCAGAAAAAAGATTCCCTACTAACTCCAATTTTTTTCTTTTTTTTCTTAAGTGTACACAGCAACATTAATTTTGGGGGTCTGGACAGTGAAAGGGTTAAGAATTGTGATATTGGTCTGATTAACAGGAAAATGTTCCTCCAATTAAGTAAAAGAAAATGGATTTCTGAAACTGAGCACTCGAGCTCTTCACATGCTGCCACCAGGCTAAGGTGACCGAGTACTGCAGTTGCAACTAGTAACTTACAAACTATGAACTAGTACTGGTTACAAGGAATGAAAATCAAACCTAATACAAAATATTAAACTTTTTTGCTCACACTTATCCATTTTACTAATTATCTATTAACAACTTCCAGAAAATGTTTAATATCAGGGGTTAATTTCAGTTTAAAAACTGACTCGGGTTTAATTTTTTACTACAGTAATTTACCTCAGTAGCAGTTTCCAATCCTATTATAGTGAAATAATTTTATCAGCATTTCTAAAAATACAAAACAGAAGTCTTTGAATAGTAAAAATATTACAGTAAAATACATAAATAAGCTGCACATAGATGAGTGAAGCTATGACGTTTTGGTCCAACTTGGACTATCAACAAGTCACACTAACACGTGAAGGTGAGGGAGCCAGTATATATTGGAGAGGAAAGATGGGACAAATGGAAAGTATAGTAGTAGAGGTAATGCTGGTAGTGGTAGCAGTAAGCAGGGGGAGTAGTGGTAGACAGAAAGGGGAGGGAAGCAGCAGCAGATGTAGTAGGGGTGGTGGTAGTCTAACGACAAGAAAAAGGAGCATTGCAGGAGAGCTAATGACCCACAAGGGTGGGACCAAAAAATGTGAAAAAACTAAAGGGCAGAACACACCATGGCAGAAGAAAGGAAGAAAGAAAAAACAGGAAAGGAGACAAGATATGGAGAGGAGAAGAAAAGCCCCAAGGAAGTCGCGCGTGTTCTGAAGTTTGGAGCATTTGACAGTCTAATGAGAAAAGAAGGTATCTAGAGAGAATGCCAGGACTAAGATTCATATTAGGAAAGTTATGTACAAGGGATGCTTCAAGAGTGTGTTTGAAGGCTAGAAAGTTTTAGCAGAGATCCAATCAAGAGGATCACTGATCTAACAGAAAAGAGTATTGCTGATGTCATCGAGTCTTAACACTTTTGTGCTGTGTGTTAGAAAGAGCGGGGCCAATTTCTCCAAACTATTGAACAGGACATGAAGCAAGAAATAGAGTAGACTCTGGAGGCATAAACAGCAGAAGAGATACGAACTAAATTACTGCAAAGGGTGAAAAGTAAGTTTGATGTCTAAAGAACAGAGTTGTTGAGATTATGAAGACTGGAAATACAGTAAAGACAGAATAGATTCCATAGAAGTTGGGTTTGGGAAAATATTTAGCACGTAAGAATGCGGAGTTTATGAAATCATAAGGATAGCAAAGAAGAGAAATTGTGACAAATGGAAATTTCTAAGTTATTTGTGTATTGTTCCATTCACAGTATTGTGCCTTTTTGTTCTTTACAGTAAAATACTTACTATACTGAAGTAGGAAGTAAGTCTTTGAAGCCCAAACTGCATGCAAAAGTGATCAGCTACACTAACTGTAATGGAAGAATAAAAAATAGGTATTAAATGCTGTCCTCAATGTGCCAATTTTCACTAGAAAAAAATCTAACCGCTCAGCTCTCATAATCAATGCACATTTGGTATCCCATCCCAGTATTAGATTGATCAAGGGACTCAGCAGCACAGAATAGTCTGAATTGAGTTATGACAAAAAAGGTCACCTTGCTCATCACACTTAACTAAGCTGGACACAAGATTCTTCCAACCAAAACTAGGAATCACCTCAACCTGTTAAAATTTCAACAGATTTCCTTGACTTATTCCTAGCCAGGTATCAGATGATTTCTGGTGTTCTGCTCCTCCTCTCGAAGGTTGCCCGTCTAGAGCATATCCGTCCCTTCTCTCAGACCTTCCCAGGGGTGACAGCAATGTCTGTTGTCCCCTAGAGCAAGCTTGTGCTGCATCATCACCAAAGATCACCATAAACTGGGCTAACCTTTGCAACAATTTTTGTCATCATAGCTTTATCCTTCATTATAGAATTTAGTGAATTTCAACAAAAATTTAAGAAAAATCAATCACACTTGCCTTAGTCATGCATCAATGTTTGATTCTTTGGTGTATGCCGATTTCTGAATGTAGACCTGGAAAAAAATTAAAATAATTAAGGTTAGAATACAGATTTCACAGAGTATAACAAGTATATATAAATGTGGATGTGAAGCAGAAGCAGACAGTGTCTTGAAACTGGCCCGGGCATCAGTTACCTATTAGGTTGGCTCATTAACTGCTGAGGGCCAGAGGTATGTTTTCACTGTTCAGCTAAGGTGCATTCATTTTTGTTTCAATGTTTGTGCAGAAGTTAAGATTTCATTATTTTTTTTTTTTTTTTTTTTTTTTTTTTTACCCAGCTCAAGTGACCCACCAGGCATTGTCCAAATGCCCAGCTGGCCTCTGGTGTGAGGCTAGGGTTGTGAATGTTACAAGGTTAGAGGCAGTGGAGATATGTCTGAGGACTGTGGTGTAAATATTATACAGAAAATCCATAGTATGGAGATTAGGTGGTGGTGTGGAGTTACTAAAGTGTTATTCAGAGGGCTGAGGAGGCTTGGACAATTAGAGGACTTGTGTGAGCAGTCGGGGTTGGTGCTAATACTGCCTACATTCCTCTTCCAACAGTTGTTGCTGTATGCAGCACTAGCACTGCCCATGGCCCACTACCCACACCAACTGAGGCATTATCAGCCTCATTATCACTGCCACCAGTGCTAGATTCGATGATGTACTACATCCGTTCAGACAGCAATAAGCACACTACCAGACATGTGGAGTGCTATATATATTGATGCTTCACAGGTGAATAATTTTCATCATTATCACTGAACTGATCAATTGCTAGGAAATCAATGTTCATATCTTTGTAATTACTACTAATATGTGCCTAATCCATGGAAGAATATGAACTTTTGCTTACAGTGGTACAGTGGACCCTCAGTTAACGATGCCACCGGATAGCGATAAAATCGGACACCAATGTGTTTTTGCAACAAAATATTGGCTTGGCTAAAGATAAAAAACTCGGTTAAGGTCATTCGTCCAGAACGTGTCCGCACGGCCTGAGCCACCCGGCCACTCCAGCGTGGCTAGTGTGCCATTGTTTACAAGCCACTGCGGACGATTCCATGCGTACATGCGATACATATTGTATTATTCCATTGTTTTCAGTGCTTGTAACTGCTAAATAAGCCACCATAGGGCCCAAAGAAAGTTTCTAGTGCCAGCCAGCCCTATGGTAAAGGGCTGAGGGAGAGGGGAGAATGTGCCTTTTTCAGTGATTCTGCAATATGTATGATGCTAAAGCAGCACTAATCTAAAAAGGCTATAGTGGCAGCCAGCAATGAAGTGTAGCATTAACTGAAGCAAGTTAAGTGATTAATCGATAGAAAAATGACAACATGAACCTAACAGGTTGAGTTGATTCCTAGTTTTAGTTGGAAGAATCTTTTGTCCAGCTTAGTTAAGTGTGATGAGCAAGGTGACCTTTTTTGTCATAACTCAATTCAGACTATTCTGTGCTGCTGAGTCCCTTGATCAATTTAATACTGGGATGGGATACCAAATGTGCATTGATTATGAGAGCTGAGCGGTTAGATTTTTATCTAGTGAGAATTGGCACATTGAGGACAGCATTTAATACCTTTTTTCTTTTTCTTCCATTACAGTTAGTGTAGCTGATTAATTTTGTTGGAATTATGTAGGGCTACTGACACTACCACCATCTCTACTGCCTCTGTTGCTGCCTCCACCACCACCATGTACAGCTTATGCTCTCAGTGACCCTTATACACCTAACACAAACAGCAACACTCATGACATAATGACATTTTATTAATTAATGTATTGTCATGTTTTATGTTATTATATTTTATTTGGCATATAGATGAGTTGTGCTAGATATATGCCACAGCTGATATCATGTCACTTGAAGGAATATCTGAAAGTCTGCCCAACACAATTCTAAAATACCAGAAACAGGCCCGTGAAAACTTTTGAACGGGTCCAGTGGCTCTCAATATATTAAAAAAAAGAAGCGCTAAGCACAAGGGCTTTACAGCGCTGCAGGTAGGGAAGGAAGCAGGAATTGGTGCAGAAGGGAGGGGGATGATCACAGGTTACAAAAACAGCGGGGCAGGGGATAGTAAGGGTAGAGGGTAGCAGAGACAAGTAGAAAGGCTGGAAAGTATCGATTTTGTAAGTAAGTCAGTCGTTGTTCAAAGTCAATGAGAGATCCGGATTAAAGGTCTTAGGGTCCACACGTGAAGGAAGTAAAGAGAGAGCAGCGGGCGAAGACGTCGGACAGAGGTTAAATTCTGCGTGCCCGTTGATAAGTGGGCAGTCCAACAAATCTCGACTGATAATGGAGCTTGGCAATTTCACGAGGTGCAAGACGCCTCTCCATGAGATATCCATGAGTAAGACGTATGGCCAATGCGAAGACGGGATTTAGTCTCCCAACCTCGACACTGGGATAGAAGCGGCCATGTAACCTATAACTCGGTTTAATAGATGAAGTTTGTTGTCCGGCATAGTAGACCAACGTTGTTGCCCGGGTGTGAAGGTGGGAAGATTTCAGCAAAATAGTCCGTACATGGATACCTCTATAGAAATGGTAGTCTGTATCTGACTCGACGCAGCAGTGTTGCCTGTTCATTGCCCTGTTCGTCAACATGACCAGGGACCCAACAAAAACAATATCTTATGCTTGTAAAATGCGGCGTAGCCAAAGTTGGATACGGAGGACTAAGGGTGGGTGTATCAAATTTTGTATAGCCTGTAACATAAGGGAGTCTGTGAAACATCAAATGATTGAACAGGACAAGATGCAATACGGATAAGTGCTGTAAGGATGGCATATAATTCAGCGATAAAAATACTAGTGAGATAGTAAATGCCTTGTACGACGCTGTCCGGAAACATGCACGAAATCCTACGCGCAGAAGATTAGAGCCATCTGTGTATGCAGCAATGCATGATTATGAGAGTGAAAGTGGTCAAAAAAGAGAGCGGGAAGCGACCGTTTGACAGTTGGGCTTTCGAGCAAGGAGGAAAAGAACAGAACTCGAAAGCTGGAACTTCCCTAGGGGGGTAGGAAAAGTGAGATGCTAATGTCATAGAAAGGGTAGTGAAGGAAGACAAGAGCGAATGAAGGCGAAGAGAAAGGACGGGATAAGCAGGGCGGCGAAAAATAACTGAAGTCTACTAAATATCAGTGACCATTCTATAAATGAAGTGCGAGGATCTGAGAGCGTACAAGTAGCGCAGGCAATGTGGCTACACGGCGATGATTAGGATGGAAAGTTCGCTCATGCATGAGGCTTTCGACAGGGGGAAAGCGAAAAGCACCAAGGCATAACTTATCCTTGGTCGATGAATGGGGTTAAGGCTAGAGAGAGTAGAGTGAGATTGCCGCATGAATAGATCTGGTCACATATTCAAGTTCATAAATAAGGGTGGAATGTAGGTGAAGGAGGTTCGAAACGACGAGCTCCCACGAAAGATGACAGGGTTTTAAAGAAGGTTTTAGCCCTGTGACAAGTTTGCTTCAGAGAGGTAATGGAGGTTTCCAGGATAACTCTACGATCAAAGAGGCCTGCAAAAACTTGACTGTATCACTCAGGATACGTGAGCCTTAAGTTACAAAGGCTTGTCGGAGATGACAGAGCGTCTATGAAAGTGATTGGTGGGTTTATGTGCTGGAAAATTTAAACCACATGTGTGGTGGCCCAATTGGAAAACTTTGACGATTGCTGTGGAAAAACTGTAAGGAGGTGACATGCAGCCTGCACAGCAATAGCGAGTCATCAACATAGAGTGTTGACCAAATATTGATGGAAGACTAGAGGCCAAACATTAATACAAGAAAAAAGTGTTGTGCTCAGAACATCCCTGGGGGACACCTTCAGCTTGATAAAGTCCGGGAGCTAGGCACTTATTTCACCGAACACGAATGCCTGCAGTTAAAAACAGTTTTAAGGAAGGATGGTAGATTGCTCGAAGGCAAGGAGTGGGCTGGGCTAAAAAATATACTCCAAGTGTGTATATGCCTTCTCAAGGTCAAAAAATTATGGCATAAGAGTGGTTATTGAAAGCATTAACGAACATACGTACCAAGGCAAGTAAGGGGTCTATCGGTAGAGTCCTTACGAAAGCCATATTGACGCGTGGAGAGACTGTTTGTGTCTCTAAATACCACACCTAACGTCTATTTACTAGCGTTCCATACTTTGCAAACTGCACTGCGTAAACAATGGGCGTATGGGAGTTTCATGTCCCTACTTTACCCCGTTTCAAAGGGATGACAATGGCGGATTTCCACAGTGTTGGAAGAACTCCTTGTGACCAAATAAGATGTAAAGGCGTATAGGACTGCAAGGGCTGACTGATGTAACTGTTGTAGCATACGAAATGATGTACGTCGGGCCCACTGCCGATGATCGCAAGCTGAGAGTGTTTGCCTACAGTTTATGAGTGTAAAGG